TTGTGGAGTTCTTAAAATGTAATCTAATGTTGTTCCAAAAATTAAATGATGAAAGAGTACGACGTTCATCTAAAAGTAAATCAAATTTGCTATTGATATTGGGATTTGAGTTTTTGCTGCAAAGATGTAGTTTATAGTCTTTAAATTCTAAAAGGTTATCGGGTATTGGATATCTAAGTTGTTGAAGTGAAAATGATGTGGATGAGTTTGATGATATTGTGTCTGTGCTACTGGCATTATTTGATGGATTAATTGATACACTATTTTTTCTTTTGTTGATAAGATTTTCAATATTTTGAGTTTGATGATTTGTTTCACTAGTAAAATCTTTGGAGAATGACAATGGGCTTGATTCAGAGTAGGAACGTTGAGATCTAGTGGTTTGGTTCTGTACAGATAAAAGATGATGATTGGTAGGTGGAGTTGACGAAAGTACTTGTAAGTTTTCAAAGTCAGTGATTACCAATGGTTCAATTGAAAGTGATGATCTAAATGTTTGTTGTTTGTCAAATGATCCAGATTTATTAAGTGGTGATGGGGGAATGCTGATACCTCCGCTGCCTCCCAATATAGAGTTTGATCTTGCTAATTTCATTAAACTTGGTAAATAATGTACAATAATTTTATAATTTATATCTTTGAGTGTATCTGATGGATTAAAACTAAGAACCAACTCCTTATTTAAAAATACTATTTTAACTTTTTGTGACATACGCTTAAATTCAACTTCTTCCATATGTTTTATACCCAATTCTGAAATTGTTTTATTCTTCTCTGTTAACCATAAGCCATCCTTTGTTATTAAACTGTAGTCCTCCAATAGATCCTTGTCAATGTGTTGATATTTTGAATAGAGTTTATTTAAAACTTCACCCAATGTATTATCATCATCAAAATCGAATGCTTCTATTTTACTGTTGTTTTCATTATCTCTTACAAATGTTCCAAAGTTTCTTGGTGTAATTGGTGCAGAGTCACCACCTTGACTCTTATTTAATGCATTGCTTGAGGAATTATTTAAACTATTATTTTGACTACTATGATGACTACGTGGGGATAAACCAATTATTTTTAAGAATGATCTTTTATGTTCTAATGGTGGTTTGGTTGTATTTGAAGATGATGATAAACTAGTATTTGATGTTGATTCACTGATACTTCTTGGTGATGATGAGGTTGATGATGATAAACTTGTTTCTGATAAATTTAATTTTGGAATTACAAATGATTTTGAACTGGTAGTGGTTGGTGATGAGGCGGATGATGATTGAATTGATGATGATGATTGTGGTTGCTGTGTTTGTGATTGTTGTTGTTGTTGTTGTTGTTGGTTATTTAAAGTTAATGATGAAAGATGTATATTTGGGTCATATGAAAATGAACTTGTTCTACGTCTATGGATAACTGGTTCATTTTTAATAAAAGCATTATTACCACTATTATTTAAAGATGATGATGCTGAAGAAGATGACTGTGGGAAATCTTGACTATTACTATGAGAAAGTGTGGGTAAAGTACCAACTGTAACTATATCTGGCAATCTAATGTAAACTGTTCTATATGGTTTGGTTAATAAATTGCCAACAGATGATAACATATGAGAAACGCCACCTCTTGAATCCTTCTTAAATTCAATTTCTTGATTCTCTTTAAATTGATATTTTGAAAATCTAGAGTCAATCTTGCACCATTGTCCCTTTTGTGGTAAGTATAAATTATATTCCGATGCATCTAAACATCCAGGTGGTAATTTTTCTATAATTAATAAAATTGCATCTTTGATTGTTTCAACTTTGTCAAATAATATTTTTTTTGTTAAACCAACTTCTGGAACTCTTACTGTTAAAATAACTCTTTCTTTTTCTACGACCATTTTAAATGTTATATCAAATTCTCTGGGTGAATTATTATTGTTGTTTAGATTATCTCTTGGTGATCTTGGTGTGGTTGGTGTTGATGAATGGTTATTTCTTGGTGATGATGAGTAATTGGTTCTTGGTGATGACGATGAATAATTACTTCTTGGTGATGAGTTTGGTGATGTATTATTACTGCTATTTGTATTGCTTTTTGATGATGATTTTAAATTTTGAAAAATAAATATTATATTTCTTTTTTTGGGTGTTGGGGGTTGTGGTGGGTTAAAATGATTATGAATATACTGGTTTATAGTCTCTTCACTTTTACTTCTATTTATTTCTTTATTATTGTTATTCTCTTCTTTTTTATTTGAATGTATAAAACTTTGAATAGAATGGAAAAATTCAACAGTTGATGTTTTGATCTTTTCTGCTAACCTATTGTTATTATGATTTCCATTATCGTGGAAAATAAAACCATTAGTTTCTATTGATTTTTTGTTTTTTAAAATTGATGTCATTTTTAAGTTTATATATATTTTTTGAGGGTTTTTATACAATATAACACAAATAATATACAAGAAAAATATATATAAAAAAAAAATAAGTTTAAAAAATATATAGTTTTTTTTTGATTTTGATTTTTGATTTGATTTTTTATTTGGTAAATGTGATTATTAATTTTATATTAATTAAAGTATTTTCACAAAATTTAAAAAAAAATCAAACTATAAAAGTACAAAAGATTATTTTACAAGAAAAAAATTATTGGAAGATTTGTGATTGATCCACCATTAATATTTTTTCAATATATTATTACAACAGTTAATTTTTTTATATTATTGTTATTATTATTATTGTTGTTGTTATTGTTATTGTTCTTAATTGAATATTGATTAAATTTATTATTTTAGATTTGCGAGTTGTTTAAAATTTAAGTAAAATTATTTTTAATAAAACAATAAATAAAATAATAAAAAAAACAATTTTATTTTTGGAAAAAAAAGATTTATATCCAAACGTAAATTATGATGTGTGGGTTAACAAAATTTTGTATGAGAAAAAAAAATTTTTGTAGTGTGGCTTAAAAAAAAAATAATATTTACACACAAGTGAGAAACAAAAAGAATGTATGGGTATTATTATTATTATTATTATACTGGAGACATAGGGCTTTTTAAATTATCAACAACAAAGAAAATAGATACAAGATGTGAATATTGATAATGGGTAAAAAAAGAAAAACAGATTTATATCTTTATTTTTATTTTCAAAAAAAAGAGAAAATAAAAAGTGAATGTTAAAATAAAACAAAAATAAACAAACTATGATATGTGAAGTGGCAGGAATAGTTATTATTTATAAAAATAACTTTTTTGTTTGTTTTTTATAGATATAAATGAGAAAACCCCAAAAAATAGTTTTATTGGTTTTTTTTTGTATAATTGTTTAAAGTGAAAAAAATGAATAAAAGAAAAAGAAAAAAGACAACAAATATTATGTGTGAAATAAAAAAAAAAAAAAAAAAAAGATAAAATTGTGTGAAAAATATTATTTTAAATAATTTTAATTAAAATAATAACATTTTTTGATAATAAAAACAGATATGATATGTATGAGTATGTTTTGTTTAAAAAAAAAAGATGAAATCAATTTTATTATTATAATTATTACAAAAAATATTTATCATTGTCATGTAAGGAAAGTGTATTGTATAAAAAAAAAAAAAACAGATTAAGTTAACCTACTTTGTTTATGTGTGTGTGTATTATGTGTATTATGTGCACTATATGTGTGATTGTGGTGTGTGTATTATTTTTATTATAAAATATGAGAGGTAATAATCACATATAAAGTTTTACATATAAATTATTTTGGTGGATTTATTATAAAAAAAACAATATTGCTAAATAAAATTTAGATAGATTTCAAAACACTTTAAATCTATCCACACTAAATGAACCAATATTGTTATTATTATTATCTAACGGTTGAAACCTTAACGAATAAAAAAATATTAGTTGTTTGGGGGGTGTGATTATTTGAAAAAAATAAAGAAAAAGAAAAAAATAAAAAAAATTCAAAATTTTTTTCAAATTTGTGAATGTTGAGTGTGGGTGTGGTAAATATATATTCGGTGGATTGGTGTGTGCTGGATTTCTTTAAAAATTACCTTTTGATTTGCAATATTTATTTAAAAAAAAAATTTATTGTTATTGCTGTTTTGATGTATATTATTTATTTTCTTATTATCAAAAGAGGCGCTATAATGATAGATAGAGTATTTTGTTTTTTAATTTTAAATCTATACAAAATTAAACAAATGTGTGTATAAGTGTCAATTATATACAGAAAAAAACACAATATTTAAAAAAACTGTATAAATATTTTGATATTAAAAAAATTTATTAGCAATAGAATTATTTTTGTTTAAAAAAAAATTTTAAAAAAAAAAATTCAAAAAAAAATTAAAAAAAAAAATCAAAAAAAAAAAAAAAAATTAAAACTGTGGACCCCAAACGCAAACAAAAGAGTGGGTCTCATCTAGATGCTTAAAAATAATAATTAAAATAAAATAAAATAAAAAAAAAAATAAGAAAGACTTTCTAAATAGATATTTTTAACAACTCGACCACGTTCTGCAAAATATATATATTGTATACACACCATACAATTCAATGTTGTTCTTTTTGGACACCTTTTGTTATTTTTGGAAACCACATCAAAAATTTAAATATCAAAAATAATAAAAAAAAAAAAAAAATTAAAAAAAAATAAAAAAACAAAAAAAAAAATAAAAAACGATAAATATGTCTTGTTTTGTGTATATGAAATATATTTATATTATTATTATTTATTAGTGTTGTTATTGTATTATTTTTATTTTTTTTAAAAAATTTTTTGAAATTTTACAATTTTTTTTTTTTATTTTTCTTTAAAAATTTTTTACAAAAAAAAAAAAACAAAATATCTTTGATATAATTTTTTTTTATTTTATTAGGAAAAACACATATATATGCGCAATAAATAATGTATATGGTTTTTTTTTTTTTTTTTTTTTCAAAAATAGAATCACAAACGACAACGACAATATAAAAAAAAATAAATAAAAATAATAAAAAAGATATTTTTGATGATATCATGTCCCTTAATAAAATAAAAGAAAAGGAAGAAGAAAAAGATATAATGGGTAATCAATTTGTGGATGTCTCAGAGAACGGGGAGTGGAGAACAAAGAGTGATAGAGAAAAAAATCAGGTTAGACTTAGTAAAAAAAAAGAAATTAAAAAATTACAAAAAGATATTTGTGGCAAATTAAAATGTCAATATTGTCCCACTATTAAATTCACATCAGTCAGAATGTTCAAACTCCATACAGCATCAAAACAACACTTAAGTAGACTCCAACGCTCAAATATTTCAGATACATGGTCATGCAAAATTTGTCAGTTGGATTTACCAAATGAATCAGAATGGGTAAGTTTAATATTTAATATTATAATAAAAAAAAAATATCACACAAAATAAATCAACAAAATTATTAATTTTATATTAATTTTTTTATATAGGATAAACATTCAATTGGCAAAAAACATTTAAAAAATATGCGATTGTATGCAGAAAAAAATTTTCCAACAAACAGACCATATTTTGAATCAGATTTAAAGGATATCAAACAAAGCGAATATAGAGAGGAAACTGACGAGGATGGGGAAGATTTATACCCACCCTTCATTGGTTAAGTTTTTATTTCTGCTATCAATATTTAATCAAATAAATATAGTTTATTAATTTATTTAAAATGTATTTAAATTATAGTTTATTATTTATTTAAAAAGTTTGTCGCGGAAATCGGATAGTTTTTTAATTTAAAAAACTTTTTTTATTTAATTTTTTTTTTTAAAAAATCGTTTGTATTATTGCATAGCCTTACCTTTCCATCGACCATGACAATATCCATATAGATTTATGTCATATTCTATTTCGGCAATAATAATAATGCCAACATTTATTGTGATAAAGATTATATACGATAATAGACAAAAATATTTTATGGGAAAAAATAAATAACTACATAAAAATAAAAACAAATAAATAAATAAATTTTATTTTTTTTACCAATAGAATCAGGAGTGGTGAAACTGGCTCTTTTATTAGTGTGTGTTATAAATTTATTGAAATTTTCTATAAAAATTGAACTTTGATAAGTTTATACCTTTTTTTTATAAAATTTAATTTAATTTATTAGATTATTTCAAATGTTTAGATATTGTTTTGAAAAATAATTAATCAAAAAAATGATATTTTAAAAAAAAATAAAATTTTTTTTTATAAATTTATAAAAAAATTTTTATTTATTTTTTTATATTAACAATAGATGAGCTATTATCATCTCTAATTAACTTTAGTGTAAATGAAGAGTTAAAAAACAGTAGTAATATTAGTGATAGGTAAGTACAATACAAACAATTCAATAAATCTAAACAATAAATTTAAATAATCGATAAATTAAAAGCATATTAATTAATGTTTTCTCTTTTTAACTATTCATTATAGATTATTATATATAGTTTGGAATAATATATATTTAAGAAATGAAATTCATAAACATATTTTAAAGTTTATTGAATATAGTGTTATAGATCTTGATATATCACAATATGACCAGTTTAAATATAGATCATATATAACAACACTTAATTGGTATGGTGAACCACTACCTGATAAAAATGAATTTCCACCATTTTTGACAAGTTTATATTTGTTCTATTTTTTTGAAAAGTTAACTCCAACATCTTTACCAAATACAATAACTACACTTACATTCGGTAATAGTTTTGACCAATTAGTTCTACCCGGCACATCCTCATTCGGTGATGGTTTTAACCAAGTAATTCTACCCGACGCATTACCAAATAGTCTCACAACACTCACATTAGGTAGCCAGGTAGTTTCACCGGGCACATTACCAAATAATCTCACACAACTCACATTCGGTCATTATTATAACCAAGTGGTTCAACCTGGCACATTACCAAAGGTGAGGAGTAACACCGTAAAAAAAACATCTGGATCCTGATATCCACCCAAATTCAGAACTCTGCCATTTTAAATGGCATGAATCGTTAAACGATACCCGGTCCGGTCTCATCAATCAGAATGCATTGCAGGTATAACACAGACTAGACCAAACCACAAAGATTGTAATACTGATCTTAGTGGTCCCGGCTTATATGAACAGAAGCTGGCTCTGACTACCACAGAAAAAATAGCCAAGGTAATAATCAATATGTCCGCACCAAGTGAATCAATGAATTCCTAAACAAAGTAAAAACATAACATTAATACTAAAAAAAAACTATAAATAAAGTGGTCAGTTCATGACTAATAATTAAATACCAAATAGTCTCACAACACTCACATTCGGTCATTATTTTAACCAAGTAGTTCTACCTGGCACATTACCAAATAGTCTCACAACACTCACATTCGGTTATGAATTTAACCAAGTAGTTCCACCTGGAACATTACCAAATAATCTCACAACACTCACATTCGGTAATAATTTTAACCAAGTAGTTCTACCTGGCACATTACCAAATAGTCTCACAACACTCACATTATATGATTATTTTAAACAAGTACTTCTACCTGACACATTACCAAATGGTCTCACAAAACTCACATTCAGTCATGGGTTTGAAGAAGAAACTATCTGATTATGATTAAACAAAGAATCATAAGTTTTATTCAAATGCAGCAACAAAAAAAAAATCAACAACTACAATAACTAGAATCCAATAATAATAACAAAATAATAATAATGAACAAGGAAACCATGACAATAATGAACAACTTATCTATAACAAGAAAATAATTAAGATATCGTTCAAGAACCACCAACACCTCAACTCTTACCAACTGTATAGGTAATCGAATAGAAATAAACTAATAATTAACAGGCCAACTTTTATTCAAAAATTAGATTAACCAAAACCAGTTTCACTGTAAATAAAAAATAACAAATAACAAATAACAAATAACAAATAACAAATAATAAATAACAATGTTTTTTTATTTTATAATTTTAAATAAATTTGTATTATTACCCATTTCAATGATTGCATCGATATTGTCGAATGTAACTGCAATTTATGTTGAAATTATTTTATTGTTGTCGTTATTAATATCGAAAGATATGAAATTTGTACCTTTAGAAGCTATTGAGATCGTCCTTAGAGCATAGGAAGTGGAATCATTGAATCTAACCTGACTATAGTCAAATTGGTTCCACGAGGATGCAAACATTTTAAATAAAACTGCAGTGATAATATCATTTTTTAAAATACCACCTTGTTTACCATCTATGCACGATTTGAAATTTTCTAATTCATTTATATTAAATTCTATATTGTTCACTGGGATGGGGTGGGTATCTGTTGTTGCGGATATTGCATGCAATGATGGATATGAAAAGCCTATCTGATTTGAATATAATTGAGCTTCATTCATGTCATTAAATATTATAGACTCGCTACTAAAAGCACTATAATCCGTAAAATGAGGTTTGGCCAATATGGTTCCTCTTCCATTATATATAGAGTTGTTATATATTTAAAATAATAACAAACTGCACCTTGATCAAAAATTGCATGGCTGATGACATACCCCAGACTGAAACCATCTTTTAATAAGGTAGGTTTAAATACACCAACTTTGGCACCATTTTCTGTATCTCTTGTATTGATTTTATTTGGTAAAGAGTCCTCTATTTTACAATTGTTTTAATTACCTTCACCTTGATCTTCATTTGCTTAATAATTTATATGTATCAAATAATATGAAAATACATACCCATTATGAATAATATATAAATTTAAAAAAAACAACAAATCCAAAATAATTAAAAAAATTATAAATTATTGTTATTAATAAAAATAAAATCGGGTTGCTATTAATTTTTTATATTTTACAGTTTGAATAAATATAATAGTGTTATTATAAAAATAAACATTATTATTTTGTTTAATAGATCTTTATATTATTTAAAATTAAAATCGTTTTTTAATTTTAGTAAATAGTTTTTTAATTGTGTTTCATTTTGTTTGGAGTTTTTTAAATTTAATAGTTTTTGGACCAAGGTATATGAATCCCTATGGGGGTGGTAATAGTCAAGAGTTGATTTTTCTGGACCAGTATTAGAGTCTAAAACATCTTTGATCATTCTAGCAATTTGGATAACGTTTGAATCAATTCCTGCCAACTCTGCAGTATCTATACCATATGATCTATTAGCTGATGAGATACCTTCAGAGAGGAGATAGTTGTATTTTAAGCCAATTGAGTCTCTTGATACTTGAAAATGATATATTTTAATATTTGGATAAAAGATTGCAAGATTCATTAGTTGTGGATAGTGGGTAACGAAAAGAGTGTAGCAACCTATTGTTGATAGTTTTTCGCTTATTGCCCATGCTATTGATGATCCATCCATATTTGAGGTTCCCCTACCTAATTCATCGACAATAACTAAACTATTTGGAGTCGCATTTTCTAAAATATAGGACATTTCTTTCATTTCAGTCATGAATGTACTTGCATTTGATTCTATATTATCAGATGTACCAATTCTACTTATAATTTGATCAATCAATGGAACCGAAGCAAACTCACAGGGTAATAAATAGCCAATATGAGCAACAATGGTTAAAAGTGCAACTTGTTGAATATATGTTGATTTACCAGACATGTTGGGACCATGAATTAATTGGAAATTTGAGGTTTCATTGATAAGTGTATCATTTGGTACAAAGTCTGTTGGATTGGTTGATTTTTTTGATTTTTTTAGTTGGATTGGATGATAACCGCTTTTAATACCCAATGGACCGTTTACGAATATTTCTGGTGTAACACAATTCTCTAAACCTAGTGCATAGTATGATCCAGAGATCAAGAAATCTAAAAGAGAAATTGATTCTGAAAGATTGTAAAGCTCCGAGATACGTGCTCTATAAAACTCAATTAAACTTTCAATTGACTGGGCAGATAAAACAATAATTTCTTCAAAGACTTCTTTAGAACGACGAGATAAAGATATAATCTCCTCACTAAGGAAATAGCATTTCTGGTTTCTATAGGTGGCTCTAATAAATGGATTTGGTAAGTGAAAGAGGGTTTTATTTTTGCATGGTAGAGAATAGTAGTATCCTTTTGTTAAGCAATAGTGAAGCTTTAGAAGTGGTAGTTTTAATTGATCTTGATAAAATTTGGTTAATGTTTGGATGTCGTTTAAAATATCTGTATACGCTTTCTTGCAAACATCCAATAGTCCATTAACACCATCTTTAATATAATAAACAACCTTTGAGTGATGGGATGCTACATATTTGATAACTGGAATCTTTTCATTGATGATTTTAAAGTTTTCTTTTTTTAGTTCTTCAATAGTTTTGTTTATTAAATTGTTGTTAATTATTTTTAGCATCGGACTAGTCATTGGATTTAATAAATTTACTATTTTTGGTAAAGCTTCAAAAATATTTTTAAAGTCGATCTAATAAAAATAAAAAGTAAAAATTATTAATATATGGTTTTGTGTTGCTTTTTGATTGTATAAAACTTACAAAATTTTTAATATATGTTTCAATTAGTTTGACTGTTGAAGTTTTTTTATGATTTTGTGAAAAATGTAATAGTATTTTATCTATATCTTCAATTTTTGAAAGAATGGGTGTTAATATAAAAGTTGTTTTTTCATTTGCCATAAATTCTTTAATTGCAGCTTGACGGTATTGTATAATTTCTAGATCATTTGATGGTTGAACAATGGCACTAATTAAAAGACGCGAACCTTGAGCAGTCTTGGTTTTGTTAATTGCCTCATAAAGTGTACAGTTTCTACTACCATCTTTTGAGTTGTGAATTAATTCTAAATTTTTTATTGTTTCGGCATCGATCTGTATAGAATTTTCGCTCCCAGAATACTCTATCTTGACACAATTCTTTACAAAGCTAATTTCTTGTTCTAAATATTTGAGTATTGCAGAGAAACTTGCCTGGGCCAGTAGTTTTTCTTTTGTAAATTTTTCGATGATAGAGAATTTATCAATTAGACAATACTGTTTGATCATTGCCATCCCGTCATTATTGTTGAAGAGTTTTCTAACAATTGGGATGATTTTAATTGCAGGAAAGCGAGATTCTACCATTTTTACCATTTCTCTTGTTTGTTCAATGGGAGGGATTATTATTATTGATGGATTTAAAATATATATTTTGTTATATAGATGGTAATATGTTTGAGAGTCGCAAAATTGACCAATTTCAAAATCACCGGTTTCTTGATTATATGATGAGTAACCAATTTCCCTTGTTTTGTTTTCATAAATTGAAACTATACAGTTTTTGATATTATTTTTTATTTTGTTTTTAATAATTGATCCTTCAATAATATTATTATCATCATCATTATTAATATTTGTTTTTGGGGTTTTAGATTTATTTCTTTGTGTAGTAGATGATGGTGGTTTTGTGATTGATGGGTTACTATTGTTTGATTTAGAGAAAATACTATCTATAGATTTGCTATTGCTATTTAGCCCTGCTGGTGTATAAAGATTTGATTTTTCAAATGATATTTCTTTAAAATTATTAATATTATATGTATTGCTATTTAAATTAAATTTATTGAGAGTGGATGGGTTTTTGTTTTGAAAGGTGTTGTTTGTTGTGGCTACAGGTACATTTTCATCAAAATCAAATTCATCAAAGAGGATGTCATTGTTAATCTTTTGTCTTTTATGTTTACCTTGAAATTTGTTTTCTGATTGTTCTTGATTAAGGGGATCTTCTTTACTGTGGATAACATTCATTAAAATATCGCTATCATCATAGAAATCTGATTCGTCTAAATAATCAAAGCTATCTATTTCTGTTTTTTTATTATTACTATTATTAATTAGATTTGTGTTATTGTTATATGAAGTGTTGTTGTTGTTGTTGTTGTTGTTGTTGTTGTTGTTGTTAAAATAATCACTCTTATGGGTGCTGGTGTGTTTATTATTTTGTAAATTTGTTTTTTTATTATCTATATAGTCAATATAAATATCAATATCATCGCTATCATTATCATTGATATTAAAATTATTATCCATATAACTATTTTTGTTAATTGTAGAATTGTTTATAACACTGTCATTATTGGTATTGTTGTTATTGTTATTGTTTATGTGGTTATTAAAATAGGACATATATAAAAATTATAGTTATTATCTTTATCTTTATCTATAACTTTTTTATTTAAATAAAAAATAAACAACATTTTTGTATGGTGGGAATAAAAAACATAAAATTTAACAAAAAAAATTTAATTATAAAAAATTATCTATTTTAATATTATCTATTTCCATATTTTTTAATATTATAAAAAAAAAAATAATCAAAAAATAAAATAAATTTTAAAAAAAATTAATTTTTACTTTTTTTTTTTTTTAAAATTAACACATTTATACATAAACACTACATAATAATATAATCATACTATAAAAAGTTTCGAATAATAATTGTGTTGTTTTATAATAGTATTGAATATTAATAGTATTGGATAATAATTATATATATTATTTCTTTATTGATCAAACTATGAAATAATTATTAGATTTTAAATATAGGATAAACACCTTTACATAAACACATAATAATCCAAATAAAAAAATGATTAAAATAATTATATAAAATATTATAATATTTTTTAAAATATTATAAATAGAGTTTTATTTTTTTTTTTATAATATCAATTAAATAATAACAAATAATAGCTATAACAAGAAATATTAATTATTAAAATAGTAATATTATAATATAAAACTACAAAACTATAAATAATAGAAAAATATAAAAATAATGTATCTCAGCAAATATTTAATTTTAACATTACTTTCAGTTGTTTGTCTTAGTAGAGGTGTTTTTGGTAATGCTGGTTTTATGAAACCAATCCCAAGAGTTGGATGTAAAGAGCTTGACCAAAGAGGTTGTAAAATCAGAACACCATGTCACAATTTAAATCCAGTCTCTGGTGATGTAAAGTAAGTATAGTGATAACTAATAATACATGAATTTCAAAGATTAAAAACTAATATTATTTTAATAGTCCAATCAATATTGATTCCATTTATGAATATGCAATTTATCAATTAGATGCCAAAGCCAACGAAACTTCAGTTAATACTTATACAATTCAATTCTTTAAAGATCAAGAAAATACAGGTTTCCAATTATTAACATTCAATCAAAATGATATGAACAGTAACAATTCATTCTATGCAGTAAAAATGGACCCAATTAAATTAAATGCTAAACTTATGGACAATCTCGAATTTGATAGAGATGGTTATGTTTTTGGTACTTTAGAATTAACTTTTGATGCTAGATCAGGTGGTGGTGATGTATACTATTCATGTGCCAATGTTCGTTTCCAAAATAAAACTGCTGCTGCTAAAAGTAAAGGTCAAAAAATCAAAGTTGAATCAACTTTAACTCTTACTGACGGTAAAGGTAACCAACGTGGTGATATTGAATCTGATGGTAAAGCAACTGAACTCATCGTCCCAGATTTAATCAGTCACGAAGCTAAAGTAGACTCTGAAGATATCAAAGCTCAAGATGACGAAGATATTGCTGCTGAAGATGGTGAAAATAACGAAAACAACAATGAAGATGAAGAAGGTAGCAAAGGTAAAAGCTCATCATCCTCACTCGCTATCCCAACCATTATTGCCTCATCATTTATCACTCTTGCTTCATTATTAATTAAGTTTTAATTGGTAGAGCATCTTACCCCCAACTCCCCAAATTAATATAAATTTATGTTTCCCCAAATAGTAGGAAGCACATTTAAATAATATTGTTTAGTTTAGGTGAAATTAATAAAATAATTTTAAAAATTTAAAACTTATATATATTTTGTTTATTTTTTTTTTTTTCATTTTAAATTAATTTTATTATTGTTTTTATATAATGTTTAATAAAACTTTTTTTCTTTTTATATTATTAATAGTTTTTGTATGGTTGTGTAATAGTTTTGTTTTTGGTTTTGCAGGTCTGATGAAACCTATTCCACGTGTTCAGTGTGATGCTAATATAACCTCAGGGTGTAAGCTAACAAAACCTTGTCATAAGATTAATTCTCCCCTTGTTGGTGATGTAAAGTATGTAAAATAATAACAACATAATTATAATTTATAATTATTTTATATTTATTATTTCTTTTTATAGTCCTCTAAATATTAATGATAGGTACGAGTTCGGAATCTATCAGTTAAGTTCCAGAGGAAACCAATATTCAAAAAATACATACACAATTTTGTTCTTTAAAGAAATGGAGAATACCGGTTACCAATTACTCACATTTAACCAAAATGACATGAAGGGAAATAAATCATTTTATGGAGTTGTAATGGATCCCATTAAAAACTTTACCAAACTTATGGAAAACCTTCAGTTTGGCAATGATGGATTTGCCTTTGGTACTCTGGAGTTAACTTTTGATGCAAGATCGGGTGGTGGCCAAGTTTACTATTCCTGTGCAAATGTTCGTCTTCAAAATAAGCCATATAATTTTACAGGTGGAAGAACTATTGAAATTCAAGCTACATTAACCCTTACAGATGTAAACGGTGATAAATTGGGAAGCATAGAGACTGATGGTACCCCAGGAGAATTGTTTATCCCCGATTTGGTTGTTAGACAAGATCAAACCCAAAATCCATTTAAATCTACAAGTATTGATGATAGTTCTTCTATTATAATAGAAGAATCAGATTACCATCAGAAATCAAATTCTATCATATTACAAAACCATAATATTTTAATTACTATGGTTTTGTTTATTTCTTATTTTTTTACTTTTGTTATTGTTTTATTTTAATAATGGTAATTTATTTTATTATTTTATTTTTATTTTTTTCTTATTTTATAAATAGATTTTTATTTTAATTTAAAGTTATTTTTTATTAAAATTTTATTAAATAAATAATTTGGCGCACCCAACCCCTTTCTAAAAAAAAATTTTATTTTATTTTTGACACACCACACATTTACCCACATTAAAAATTTATTAAAAATTATTAAACACACATTTTCATTGCCCACACATAAAAAATAACCCTATAAAGAATAAAATTTTACTTAATTTTTTTACTTTTTTAAAATGAGGTTAAAATTATTTGAAATTCATTCAAACCAAGTAAAAAAATTGTTAAAAAATAAAAATAATAACACAACACTAACACTAGTGTTTAAAAAAATTAAATTATTTTATTTTTTAAAAATAATAAAATTATTTTTTTATTTATAGCAATTTTTTTCTTTTTTTTTTTCTTTACCATATTCATAAAAAATAATAATAACTGTAATATTAATATCATAATAATTGAATAATGTTATTAAGTAAATATTTAATCCTAACCCTTTTGGTTATATGTTATTTTGGGGTTAATTTAGTAGATGCAAATGCAGGTTTAATCAATCCAACACCTATTAGAGCTTGTAATGCAACTTCAATAAAAGGTTGTCAAAAAACTTCCCCATGTCACAATACAGCCACTGATGGTGAAATGGTAAAGTAAGTAAAAATATTTATATATATTTTTTATATAATGAAATAAAAAGATATTAATATATATATTATAGCCAAATTTATATTGGTGAAGATTATGATGTCGCTATTTATCAATTAAATGCAATGCTAACTAAAACCGAACAAAGTACCTACACACTTCAATATTTCCCATCAAATTCTAAAGATGTTGGTATTCAATTATTAACCTTCAACCAAAAGAATTTCAAAGAAGATAACATGAGTATTAGAGTAGTAATGGATGCAATTAAAAATAATCCAAAGTACAAAAAAATCGAATTTGACAAAAATGGTTTTTCATTTGGTATTGTCGAGCTTACCTTTGATGCAAGAGAAAACCCAAAGGAAGATGACCTTAAAACTGATCGTGTATTTTACTCTTGCGCAAGAGTCCGTTTACAAAAGAAACCAGTTCCTAAAGCCAAAGGAACCACTTTCATTGTAGATTCATCAGTTCTTCTTAGAAACACTGAAGAAGGTATTGGTAATGCTACTCCAGACTATCAACCATATAATATGACCATTCCTAGATTAGTAGAACACAATGCTGATGATAGTGGTAGTGGTAGTCAACTCGGAAACAAAGATCCAAATGGTGATTTAAAAACAAACAATGGAGAAGAAGAAGAAAAACAACATAATGGATCAAACTCATTAGTTTCTCCATTTGCTTTTATTACCCTCTTATCATTAATTTGTACTTTATTAAAATTATAAACAGTAACAACAACAACAAAAAAAATAAAGATTATTCTTTTGTTTTAAAAAAACAGTAATATAATTTTTTTAATAATCAATTTTTTATTATATAGTTTTTATTCCTTTTTATTTTTATAATATTCGTTAAAATCTAGCATATATTGCAAAGAAATTGGGTTTAAATCTTGATTCACTTTAACTTTAAGAATCTCCTCCTGGAATTTATAAAATGAATTGGTATAGTCTTGGTATAAATTATTTAAATGAGTTTTGTAGCTGTTAAAATCCTTGTTGACCGAAGCTTGAAACTCTTCGGTTTGGTTGTTGGTGTTTTGATAAATTGTAATTGAAAGATTAACCAATTTTGATTGCAACAATGTAAATTTATTGATGATTGATAGTAGTTTCTTAAAGCATTCATAGCTGCTGTCTGAATTTGATAAAAATGATTTTGTACAAATATCTTGAAGATACTGATGGTGAGCGTCTATAAGTTGGTCAAGATCGGTTGCCTCTTCTTCAATGAATTTCTTTAAATTGTTCCATGAGCATTCTAGTACTTCAAACATTAAATAATATTGAAAATTTGAAATAAAGTGGATCATTTCATTCATAATGATATGAGATTTATGAATTTCACCTTTAATTGGTAAGAGTGCTGCCAATTCTTTTGAGGAAGTTCTAATTTTTCTCCATACTGAAGACAATGAATATTCTACTCTTTTAATACTCCACATGAAATGGAATGTCTTTTTATATCTTATTATATCGTTTGGTGATAAAATTGTATTTAATGGACTGTCGACATGGTAATCCAACGAAAATATATCCCAACCTATACTACCTTGTCTTTCTGGAAGTAGTGCTATATCTAATCGACCGATAAATTCTGATTCTTCAAATTGAGCATTTGAATTTCTGATTGCTGTTTCCATCCAATCTGCTAATTTATGACGACTAATTTGATTAACTGGTTTAGATAAATCTTCACCTACTAAATCCATCAAGTATTGAATAAAATCACCTTGACCCAGCAATAAATATTTCTTTAACGCTTTGATATGTGTCATAAATTTAAATCTTTCTAAAACAATCTTTAGTAATCTTTGGGAACTTTGTCTTGCTACCAACTCTATCATATCTTGTAACAATTCTTTATTTGTATAATTTAAATTATTTGATTTATATTTAATGATTTTTGATTCTTCATTTAATAGCTTCTTTTCAATTCTTTGTTCTTTTGTTAATCTATTTGGATCATGTTGTGGCTGTTCCTCTTCATTTTCTTCATCTTCTTCGTCATCCTCATCATCGTTTTCAAATTCTCCATCATCGTCTTCGTCAATATTGTAATAGTAATAAGAGTCTAATTTATCGTCCTTGAAGTTATTACAAAATTGTTTCATATAGTTTATTGATTTACCAATGACCAATATTTTTTTAGCTAAAGGTATACTGATGAATGATGGTAATAAACGGACTACAATTGCAAACTTTTCTTTCCATGTTCTTTCTAATTGGACTTTTTCGTGCTGTTTAATAAAAAACTCTTGATATGGGTCATTAATTTCGCCTTTGAACATCCATAAACGTACCATTGAAAAGAAAGGTTGGCATATTTTAAACATTATAGAGTGAATTAGTTTTTGAATATCTCTATCACCATGCCTTGATAGTGTGTCAATTTGCGAAATAATTTCTCCACCTTTCATTGTTGTTTTTATAGAGTCAACACAAGTTGCTAAAACTTTTAATTTCTTTAATGGTGATTGTATCCATACAAACAACTTTATTAATGTTAAATTATCTTCTGTGAATGGTAGTTCTGATGTTGTTGATGCTGTTGATGTTGATGATATTGATATTGGTGACTCTATACCCACAAGTGGTTTACCATTGTTTTGATTATTATTATTGTGCATATCATATTTTTTATTTATTTGCGTTTCCAAAATTGCTATAATTCTATAAAACTCTGTTAATTCATCATGAATTGCAGAACAAAAACTCTGTAATTTAATTATTAATATATGTTAAATAAAAAAAATAAATAAAAAAAAAAGAATACTTACTTGATTTGTTAAGCCAGAATTTTTAAATTCATTATTTATTATAAAATTTCTAGTTTTTTTGAATAACCAACCAAATTCGCATAATCTATAAACTAAATCTCGTTTGGGCTTTGAAATATAAGAGGCCTCACCATTAATATTAATTGTATCATCTATAGAGTATGAATCGGATTTTTTATTATACTTTATAAACGTTCCATCGATACCTTGAAATACATATATGATATCACGAATTAAAATGTGTTCGGGTATTTCAACTAACCCAACAACTTGTTTTTTTGTGCTTGATAATGTTGGTGTATTTGCTGCACTTGTATTTTCGCTACTACTGTTAGATGGCTGATAGTTTTGTAATATAGTTATACCTGTGGATACTTGATCATTATTATTATTATTATTATTATTATTGGTGATTAATTTTGGTAATAAACTATTTGCTGTTATTGTTGAATTATCTTTTTTTTTTTTAGAGTTTAATGCTGATGATGATGATGATGATGATGATGATGTAGTTTGAACAACATTTTGCGATGATTTTTTATTATTTAAGGTTAATTTAGGGATTTGTACAAATGATGAATTCATCATTATTATTATTGTTTATACATTTAATTTTTATTTTAAAAAAATAATATAAAAAATTAAAAATAAATTTTAAAAAAAAAAATTTAAAAAAAAAAAAAAAAAAAAATTTGGTGTATTATATAAATATATATATTATTATCCTTTTTAATAAATAAAATATTTTTTTTTAAATTTTATTTAATGTATAATAAAAATAAAATAAATAGTTTATTAAGTTTATATGATATTTTATTATAAAAAATAATAATGAAAAAAAAGAAAAACAATAGTTAAAAAAATTGCGCCAAAATTTTTTTTTAAATTTTTAAAAAAAAAAAAAAAACTTTAAATTAATATAATATTATTTTATTCATTTACCAATTGTATATTATATTTCTTATACATGTAATAAAGTAATATTATACATGTAATATATAAATAATGTCAAACCCAATAAATTTTTCACAATTGACAGCACAACAACAACAACTATTATTTCAACAACAACAACAACAATTATTTTTATTACAACAGCAACAGCAACAGCAACAACAACAGCAGCAGCAGCAACAACCAGTACCATCAGTACAACCACAGTTAAAATCTAGACAGTCTACACTTGGTTTACCTAGCAGAAAGCCACCAGCTGCCCCACAACCTGTTCAAACAAACCAACCCCAACCCACACCACAACCAACATTAACACCACAACAACAACAAATATTATTACAACAGCAACAATATCAATTTTCAAATAATGCAATACCCTCTTCTAGACACAGTATTATTGGTCCATCGTCATCAGCAAATAGACAATCATTAGGACCACCAACTGTATATAATAACAATGCTACTAATAATATTAATATAAGAAGTACAATGCTACCATCTCAAAACTTTAATAACAATAATAACAATAGTAATGTCATAAACAATGGTGGTAATAGTAGTATGGGTGGTAGAATATCAACCATTAGCACAACATCATCAACTGGTACAATAGGTTCAAATTTAAATTCAAATATTAAAAATAAAGAAGGTAAAAAATCGATTGGTATTAAAAATGCAGCACCACAACAATTAAGACAGGAAAATAGACCTATTAATGATGGAAAATTTCAACAAAACTGCTTATCAAAGATTCAGCAATTCCTTTCGCGTAGTGAAAAATGCTACCCAAAACAAATCAATAAAGATAATATTAGTAATGAAATTTTTGGTATAATGAAGTTTCTTATTCACTTTATTGATCCACACTTTAAACTGCCACCTGACAAGCAAGAGGAAGAAATTATAGCCTTCTTTAAGAGAATGGGTTATCGATCATCCGGTTTCACAAAACGTGCTTTTAGCACAGTTCCATCAGTCCACAACAAGGGTCATTTATTGGGTGCATTAGTATGGATCATCGAGCTTATCGAGTACGATCAAGAGGTTAGATTTAGAGAGGCCGATATTGAAAAGGATATTTTGGGCGATGATGAAATTAGTATCAAGATGTTTTCAAACCAGGTATTCAAATCATATGAATCTTTTCTTCAAGATGTTGAAGGTGATAACAGAGTAGATATCTTTTTAGAGAGCAGATATGCTGAAGCCAACGAAAAAATAATACGCGAAAAAGAGGAATCACTAGAAAGACAAAAGAAATTTAAACAAGAAATTCAAAAACTAAATGAATTTTTAGCCAATGACGATATTGAAAGGTATAATAGTTTTATTGAAACCACCACCCAAGATATTATAGCGGCCACGGATCAAATTAATGTTTACGAGCAAGATAATCAAGAGTTGGATAATATAATATTAGATAACGAACATCAATATACATCACTTGAAGACCATCTCTCTGATTTAAAACAAAGAAAAAAAGACAATGAATCGCGTATCCTCATTCAACAGAGCAATTTAGTCGATGCCAGAAGAATTAATCAAGAGAGATCGGAATTACAAGAGGAATTGGATAAAGTCAATAACGATTTATCGAGACAGGATCAAATGAAACAAGAAATTGCAAGAGATATCAAACACTCTGTTACAAATATTGAAGAGCAAATTCAAACATACAAAGAAATATGTTGTAAGGCATCTTTGGTAACCGACAACAATATGATCATTGAAAAATACAGAATCAACTTTAGTGCACCATCAGATGGTGAAGTATCGGTATCAGATTTAAAACAAGTAATTAAAAATTTAAAGCAACTAAACAACGACCTTCAAAACAGCAGTAGAACTATCAAAACCGAATTACAAACCAACAACAACCAATTAGAGGCACTTAAGGAAACCATCAAAGATAAAGATTTAGAAGTTGCACGTATTAGACAGAAATTTGAAAAACAAAAAGAATCTTTAAAGAATGAAAAAAAGAATCAAAACTTGGACATCCAACAACGTGAAGAGAATATTGAATTGCTCCAAATAACTAATAAAAAGAACTTGGATGATGGCCGTTCTGACCTCGAAAAAACCCAAAGACTATTTGAACAACACAAAGAAGAATATAAACGTTTAAAACATGAATTGGAACAAACCACCGATACCATTAAACTAAACTACACCACTAGAATACAAAGATTCGTTCAACATAGACAATTTGTTGGTAATCAAATTTATGAAACTGTTAAACAAATGGAAGAACTAAGCAATACTCAAAAAAAGCTTTTCCCACCAACACAACAACAATCACAACTCCAACAACATTCACAATTACAACACTCACAATTACAACATTCACAATTATATCATTCCCAAAACAACAACAACAATAATAATTTACAATCAAATTTATCATCCTCTGTTATTGGCATAAGTGATTCATAACTTCTATAGTCACTAAAAATAACACAACAATACTGTACATAAATAAAAACACTCCCATTATCTAAAGTTATAAAATTTTTATTGATTTTTTTTATTTACACAATTTTACAAAATTAATTATTAATAATTATTATATATTTTATATTTATATTACTATTATTACTATTATAATTATTATTTTTAATTAACCAGGACCAACTTTTGGAACATCATGATGTTCGGATAAACTTGATAAATATTTATTATACTCTTCAATTTTTTCTTTATGAGATTTACTGACTAATTGATCAATTCTCTTTTGTTCCTTCTTTGCAAGTTTTTCTCTGTGTCTTTTTTCAGCCTCGGTTAATGTTTTTGAAACTTTGATAGCACTATTTTCCTCTTCATTATCATTATTGTTATTATTTACAACTTCTTCTTTTGGTTCTTTATCCTTTTTTGACTTTTTTTTCTTTTTACCATGTGATGGTGCCTCTGGTGTTGAACCTTTTAATTTTAATTTTCCTGTAACTATATTTGAATACATTATTATATATATAAACAATATTAAATGTAAATATAAAAAAAATAAATGATCGTTTATGAAAAAAAATAAAAATAAAAATAAAATTAAAAAAAATTTAAAAATAAAATAAATAAAAAAAAATAATAAAAATTTTAAAAAAAAATAATTTTGAAAAAAAAAAAAAAATTACATGGATTAAAACACAATTTGTTTAATAAAATAATTATAAAGATTAATAAAATGGAACAAGCACAATACAATGAATATAATAATATAGAGAATATAAATAATAACATACAGGGCCTATTAATAAATAATAATAATGAAAGGAAATATAGAATAGCAATGGTATCAGATTTCTTCTATCCAAATATGGGTGGTGTCGAAGAGCATTTATATCAGCTATCACAATGCCTCATCAAGAGAGGAAATAAAGTTATTATCATAACACATAGCTATGGCGATAGATTTGGTATAAGATATGTGACCAATGGTTTAAAAGTTTATTATATTCCACAAGCACCATTTTACAATCAATCATCATTCCCAACATTATACTTTACATTTCCACTATTTAGAAAAATTTTAATTAGAGAAAGAATTGAAATTGTTCATTGTCATCAAGTGAGTAGTTAATTAATAATCATATATATTTATTTATATATACACACTGGGAATATTTAATTAATAAAACTAAAAGAGCTAAACAATATATTAACTATTTTGTATTTTTAAGGCATTTTCAACACTTGCACATGAAAGTATTTTACATGCAAGAACTATGGGATACAGCACTTGTTTTACTGATCACTCATTATTTGGTTTTGCAGATGCAAGTTCAATCCATATGAATAAATTATTAAAATTTACACTATCAGATATTTCCCATGTTATTTGTGTATCAAATACAAGTAAAGAGAATACAGTATTAAGAGCCCAACTGGATCCACATTTAGTCAGTGTTATTCCAAACGCAGTAGATACAACCCAATTCACACCCGATCCATCAAAAAGAGATCCTAATAAAAGTATGTATTCTATAAACATACAATATTACATATATTACGTATTATTAACTCTTTATAATACTTTAGTTTCAATTGTAATTATGAGTAGATTAGTTTATAGAAAAGGTATTGATTTGGTAATTGATATTATACCAAATATTTGTAAAAAATTCCCAAATGCACATTTTATTATTGGTGGAGATGGACCCAAAAGAGTATCATTGGAAGAAATGAGAGAAAAACATCAACTTCACGATCGTGTTGAATTACTGGGTAGTGTTAAACATTCAAACGTTAGAAATGTATTAGTTAGAGGCGACATCTTTTTAAATTCATCACTCACCGAAGCATTTTGTATTGCAATTGTTGAAGCAGCATCGTGTGGTCTTTATGTAGTCAGTACCAAAGTAGGTGGTGTACCCGAAGTATTACCACCACATATGATTTCATTAGCCCAACCAAAAAGCGATGACTTGGAAGAAAAACTCACTGAAGCAATTATTAAACTTAAAATCAATCCAATGGAAACCCACGAAGAAGTCCGTTCAATGTACGACTGGAACGATGTAGCAAGACGTACCGAAACAGTTTACGATATTATATCTAAAGCACCCAAAGTTCCATTCATCGAAAGATTACGTCGTTTTGTTGGTTGTGGTCTTTGGGCTGGAAAGTTAAATTGTATGGTTGTAGCACTAGATAGTTTGGTTTATAAATTTTTAGAATATTATTCGCCTAAAGAAGATATCGACGAAGCATTTGATTTCCCAATCGAAGGTTATACTCAATATAAAAACAATCAACTAAAAAACAATTAAATAAATAAATAAATAAAAACAAATTTACATATTTTTTTTTTTTTTAAATTTATACTACACATATTAATATTATACTATTTTATTTTTTTTACTTTTCTTTTTTTCTTTTTTTAAAGTTTTTACCAAATTTTTTTTTTTTTATCTACATTTAATAAATTATTATTAATTGTATTTTTGAATATATTATTTTGAAATTTAATTCAAAAAAAGGTGGTTTGATTAAGTTGTTTTTTTGTTGTTTTTTTTTTTTGTTTGTTTTTTTTTTTTTTTTGAATAATAATATTACATTATTTTGTTTTTATATTATTATGAAACTGTATCTGGTTTTGTTGGATTTGTTGCTAATTGTTTCTTTCTTTCCTCTTTCTTCTTTTTAATGATATCATTATAAAGTTTATTTCTATATTCTGTAATTGGTAATTTTTGACTATCATCAATTGGGATTTTAATGATACGATCACATTTTGGTTCGTCGGTTGGACTGTGGAATTGTGCTACATATGGATGACTTAAAGCCTCTTCAGCTGTAATTCTTTTATCTGGATTGAATTGTAAAAGTTTTCTTAATAAATCTAAAGCCTCTTGTGAAGCGTGTGGATACATATCAGTAAGTGAACGTGGATTTGAAGGTGGTAAAGATTCAAGCATAGTACCAGCAAATGGAGATTTAATAGCTTCAATATCTTCAGCCGATGGACAACCAGTAACCTCAATGATTAAATCTAATTGATTCATTGTTGAATTACCTGGGAACATTGATTTACCACCTAATAACTCGCCTAAAATACAACCAATAGACCACATATCAACACCTTTAGTATAACGAGTTGAGCCTAATAAAATCTCTGGTGCTCTGTACCAACGGGTGGCAACATATTCAGTTAATACTGGATTAGCTTCATTAACTGATTCTAATTGTGTAATAGATCTAGCAAGACCAACTGATTTACAAAAATAAAAAATAAAAAATAAAAAATAAAAAAAAGTGTTAATATAACAATTATATTATACCATAATTAAAATAAAATATGATATTTACAATCACCAACTTTAACTAAACATTCTGAATTAAGTAATAAATTACTTGGCTAAATAAATAAAAAAAAAACAATTAATATTTGTTGTTATTAGAGAATCTATGTGTTGTTTTTAAAATACCTACTTTAATATCACGATGTAAAACATTTGCTGAATGCATATATTTTAATGCTTTTAATAATTGATAAATTGTAAATTGTTTATGAATATCTTCCAAAATATTTGCTCTGATAACAGCATGTAAATCGGTTTCTATAATTAAAAGAAATACTTTGTTAATATATTTATAATGATAATAGTGTAATAATATAATAACTTACCCATATATTCAAAAACTAAATAAATATCTCTATCATTATCTGCTTTAATAACATTTAAAAGTTTAATAATATTTTCGTGACCATGTAATTCTTGTAAAAACATAATTTCTCTAAATGTTCTTTGGGCATCGGTAGCATTTTGGAAAGCATCAAAAATCTTTTTGAGGGCAACAATTTGCTTTGTTTTTTTACAAACTGCTTTCCAAACAATACCATAAGCACCCTTTCCTAATTTTTGTTGTACTTCATATTTTCTTAAAACATGTTTATCGATATCTTCATTTGATGACATTTTTTAACTTTATATATATATATGTATGTGTGTATGTGTATGTGTATGTATGTGAATGTATGTAAATAATTGTATATTTTTGTTATTAATTAAAGTCTTAGAATAATTAATTTAGATTTATATTTATAATAATAATATATATATAAGATTGGTTTTTATTAATATCTGCGAGTGAGTTTGTTTTTTTTTTTTTTGCACCAACAAAATATATTTTTTATTTTGTTATAAATTTATTTTAATTTAATTTAATAGTTATTGTGTGAAAATGTGTGTCTGTGTGGGTTGGTTAAATAAATAAATAAATAAATAAATAAAGAAAAAAAACCTTTTAAAATAGATGAATGTGCGTTTTTGGGTGAACGTATACAAAGGGTGTCCCTGTTTTATATGATATTGTATTTTTCTATATTATGTCTTATATATAAATTCAATCAAAGCCGAGCGCTGATTTTTTATTTTTTTTTTTTTTTCCAAAAAAATGACTAAGCTAAAAAAAAACTACAAAAATCATAAAAAAAAATTA